ATCACACCCCTTTTCAAGTGATTAAAGGAGATTTGAATTATGCCATACCAATTGAACAAACGGAAAATAAATTAACAACTGACTATATAAGAAGTTTGGCAGAATCCCTTGCGAATTTGAATAAAGAAATTCAAGAAAAATTATTAGCGAAACAAACAAAGTTTTTAGAATCACGTAATAAAAATCGTGAACCTGAATCAGAATTACAAGATCCAATCTTTGTAAAACAATTTAATAGAGACAAGATAAGTCAGCGTTATGATAGCAAAACACAAAATCGCTTTGCTAAACAAAATGTTAAACGATAATAATTTATTTCAGGTACTCCGAGATGAATCCTTTAGTATTCCTAACTCTCGTTGGAGTCACCCAAGCGTATACATTGACGACGGTAGAAAATCCTATTTTACCAATTTCTTTAGGAACTACTTACGTAACAACTCAACATAACACGGCCTATTATCACATAAACACGACAATTATCATACAAAGTATCCATAAACTGGAAATTACCTTAATGAAATTATCTGACACTCTTAACAAAACAACATGGTCAAACCAATTTGTTGCACTGTTTCAAACAAATATTGAAAAGAAAACAGTCATTCTCAAATAAAGATAATGAAACAAGTAATCAGAACCTATCAAGACCAAAAACGTAATAAAAGAGGTCTATTAAATTTCACGAGCACAGCAGAAAAATGGCTCTACAGAACCCTAGATGCTGAAGACGGCGCAAGATATTGTCAACTAGCTGCTTAGGAAAGGAGGTCCCGGTATTCAACCTTATTAATTTAATTGCCGATTCGATCGGATGTTTATTGCAATTCAGCAATAAATTGATATAAATTGCGCCGCGAGCCGCAACAAAGGCAGACTTAAACCAGTGCAAGTACCTCTCGTTGGAAAAGCTCCTCTGAAATTAAGTCTCCCCAGTGCAAGTACCTCTCGTTGGGAAAGCCCCTCTGGGTATCTTCAGCCTTATCGTTGTCCAGTGCAATTACCTCTCGTTGGGAACGCCCCTCTGGACAAGGCATAAGGGTGACGATAAACTAATATACAGTCCCCCAAGCAGCGTTGACGTGTGGATCCCTATAAGGACCCCAGTGTTCGAAGGGTCATGCATCTTATAGGATTACCGTACATGTAAGGGCATATTTGGGAAAATATTTATATATCTATATTTTTATATAACCTGAGCGAGTTTCTCTCCATCAACCCCCAAAGCTACAAACCCCCATGTCACCCCCGTAAAGTGGGCAGTTGTGACAATATGATTCTTATATCCAGACGCTCAATGATAATCAAAAGACTCTCAATGAAGATCTAAAAACACAAGCTCAAGCATTGAAACAAGTTACAAAAATATTTCACGATCAATTTTCAACTATTGAATCTGACCAAAAAGTTATCACAGGAAAATTACAAAATAGTTCCTTGGAAAACCAAAATTTCCACTCAATGTTAACTTTTAATCTAATATTGAACAATATCAATATTCAAAGTAATAAAATAAGGAATCTTATTGATCATGTGCAATTAGCAATAAATTTTGCACAATTGGGAATAATGCGTTATACTATTTTATTTTGAACCATATATGTAATTTTCACATTCCTTACTGGTTTGAAGGTTCGAAAATGTCATTTTACTTTTGTTTACTTTAAAGCAGGCGGAAAGTGACTGTTCTCCTATCACTTTCGGCCTGGAGAATCCACTTTCGACCCTGATATAGTATTTTACATTATTAGCCAAGTAAAACAGTTTTTACTGGTGATTGAAGGAAATGACTAGCGAGTCGTCAGGCGAGCTTGTCACCTTCAAGAGCCAGTAAAAACTGCTACCTGGCGTATGATTTACAATAATTTATTTGTTACTCATTTGTAAACAATAAATAAAAAATTAATACATAGGTAATACAATTTTAATAAATAATTCTACTGACCCTACTGACTTGTAAAAAGTTTTTACCTACGAGCGTGCGGTAAAGTGCACTTTACCGCACGTATTTGCAAATGGAAAGTAGCACTTAACCGCACACTATGCGGTAAAGTTAACTTTACAGCATAGTGTGCGGTAAAGTTAACTTTACAGCATAGTATGCGGTAAAGTGGACTACAAAGTGTGCGGTAAAGTGCACTTTACCGCATAGTGTGCGGTAAAGTAGAATTTGATATTTATAATCAAAAATCCTTTTTTTTTCCAGAAAATGGATTTTTGATAATTTCTAAATCTAATTTAATTTCATTAATTAATCTGATTCAATAAATAATTTTATCAATGCCCTTTTTTGGAGATGTAGATGCTCATAGGTAAAATTTTGTACCTAACACATGCGGAAAGTGCCTTTACCGCCCTTAACGGCTTGACCGAACTCCGCTTCGCGTCGTTCGGTCAACTGCCGTTGCGTGCGGTAAAGTATCACTTTCCGCATTTGTTAGGTAAATAACTATTACAGTTTAGCTGTCAGTTTTACAATTCAGTAGAGCCAGTAACTGGTAAAAATCAATTTTCGTTGTTTATGTTTTGACTTGATAAATGACGTTTTACAAATGCGTGACAAATAAAATTGTTCTTTCATACCTAAACACAAATCCAGGTGCAATGTTTGTATTTAGAAGTAGATGTCACATGTGTTTATATTGTTGAAATTTCATAAGATGTCAATGTCGGTGTCAGACTGTCAATCAAAATTCCATTTTTGTCATATTTTTACCTTATTTTATTCAGTAATTAATGGTTCAAAATAAAATAGTATACATAATTCGGTGGAAAGTTTTCATAACCTCCGCATGTAATATACTATTACAGCATAATGAATTAAATCAAATATTAACAAATATACCCAAAAGTCAGCAAATACCTTTTGATAATAAACTCAAGTATTACGAGACAATGAAAACTCAAGTAAAAATCCAAAATGAGTTAATTATATTTGTTATACACACACCAATGATTGATCTCAAGCCCTTTATATTGTATAAAATCTATCCAATTCCTATCCAAGAACTTACCATTAGGAATAAGTACCGTTACCTATTACTTACTACAACCATACAAAATCATATTCAAACCAACACCCATTGGTGGACATTTATTTCAATACTTTATGGGAATGACCGAATGTCGAAAGTGTGTATGTACCTTTGTAAACAAGAAGAGCTGAAGCAAGAAGAATCATGTGTTTATGACCTGATTATTGACCTACCACAACAATGTCCTTTCACTAAAGTGAAATATGAAAAACCAACAGTAAGACAACTCCCGAATGGACAACTATTAGTCATTCCTAAGAAAAGTCTGACGATAGTTATTCAAGGTAACAAGACAAACCATATGGAAATAATAACAACGCTAGTTTCTTTTGAAAAATGCTTTGTGAAAATAAAAATTCAAACATTTTCAAAAACCAGCGAGAACTTCAATTTTGAACTGAAGATTCCAAAAATAGACATCCCTGAACTTCCAGAGAATGAAACAATATTGGAACTTCAAGAAAACAACCAAGAAGACTTAGAAGAAGCCTTCAAGACGACGAAACAGATAAGAGTTCACAATCTAAAAGAATTGTCTTTTGAACACTCTTATTTAAACACATATGTAATCATAGGTTTAAGTCTTGCTATTTTATTTTTAATTTTATTGTTTTACTGTTTTAGGAAGTTTAAAACTTCAGAGAAAGGTTGTGCAAATGTGCAAATTGAATTGTCTGATTTGAATTCACAACAATCCACGTTTGCAACATCTTGAGGAAGGAGGAGTTATATTAACCAATTGCCACGCTGATTTATAATCAATTATCTATTTTTTATATGCTTTAATGTGCTTACCCCTTTTCTCTGTGACTTTTTAAATACATTGTTGTGAAGTTGTCAAATTGCTATATCGGCATTAAATTCTTATTTAAGCCAATGCAATCCCATAAGGAACGTTCATTTGTTTTCTGGCTTTTGCCTGTAGCAATCTGATCTACGTATTTTCTTTTGTCACCTTTGTATTTTAATCAATAAAATAAATGTTTTTTAAAAAACAAGTTTCTGAATCGAAAATATAATTCAAGGATATAAGGCAGAAGAGCTTATTACCTATACACTAAAGATTTTGAAACAACTTGAAGGTAAACTCGAGTTTTATTTTGCTTTCCACTGGAATGAAATTAGCTATTCTATTTCATCGGCCAAGGAATGACATGCGGCCGGCTCATTTTATAAGGCTGTGTCGATGTTATTAATAGGATCTATAAATGTCAGACAATAGTTAAATAAGATTTTGTTCATGAACTAAAAACACGTTCATTCGTCTTTTTTTTTTTGAAAATATTCAGGCGTTTCCGAATATTTTCTATCCGGTTAACAGTCTTTTAAGATTTTAAAGTTTAGTTTGCTAGCGCTTAGATCTTTTCTGTATTCCTATCATTCACGCGGATATATTTTTAACGTAGTTCCAATAATAAGCATCAAATATTTAGAACATTCTAGTTTCGCTTTAAACTAGGCATTACCAAGTTTCCCAATGTACCTACTAAATGTTGAGAATAGAAATTCTTTTATTATAATAGAACTTTGTTACTAGTATCAAGTATTATGTTGAGTTTAGAGCTAATAGGAAACTTTGATGAAGTAACAATTATTAAATTTAATCAAATAAATGAAAGGTATAGATGTGAATATAGACATTTTCGCCAAATTTTCATCTATTCAAAAATATAATCTTTATGAATTTTTAAAAATGTTGTTGCCGTTTCTGTCTTACTCGCATTGGCTTATAACGATACTACGGAATGACTTCACATAGTATTAGTCTTTTTACTCCTGTAACTTTTTTTAATTTTGCAAATTTTGTTTGCACAGGATCAGTTCCAAATGTTTTGAGGAATCAATTCAAAAACTAAATGGTCAAGTTACCTATTGATGAAGATAACCTTTTACTACGTCTAAAGTAATCCGAAATACCCGCGAAACCGGCTGCGAGTATTATATTATGTAAAATTAAACTCTTACCTTCGCCTTCATGCACCCACTTAACCGACCGTTTCTTCCTGTTAGCGTACATCTGCAGACCTTTGCTAGTTTGATTACTGATGTCACTCAACGAGCTAGAAATTCTCTTTGCCAACTCTACCTGGTCCTCAACCGTGGGATGAAAACCTTTTTCGTAGAAGGCTGATGATGCAAACATCTTTCCTAAACAAAAAATAATTATTTTTATTACAGTCCTTTTAATGTGTTGAATAATAATTGTTCATTGCATGTGCCATGTGCGTTGCACATCACAGATTCTGTAGATTTAGTTGACTATAAAATAATTCTGGAATTAATACCAAAAATTTAAGAAAAATACTGAACGAAGATACTCAAAAGAATCACGGGGAAGGAAAAAAGTGTAACAAAATCAATAGTAATCTCGGTTAAAGTTCATCTTTTCTGGCAATTACCAAAGACAGTTTTTCCTATGGATATGTGACATGAAGTTTCTGGGAACAATCTAATCTGGTCGAGGATAAAATTACCTACTTGAAAGAAAAAAGGTATCAAATTTTATAGTTTCACGATTATTTGGCTCTTACCCGAAATTGACAAATATATAGGCAAAATTTATGTTTTAATAGATAAACACTAAACTTTAAAGTAATCTGTAGTTGTAATAACTTTTTGAAAGTCAAGGAATCTTCTACATAGATCCCCACGTTTTATGATAAACCCAGATGTGTCCAGATACAATAACATAAATTTTATATTAATAAAATTATCAAGTGTTATTTAGGTGAAATAAAAACTGTAAGATACTTAAATGTTTAGTTATAATTAAGATATAAGTAGGTTAGTTAGTTGCAAATTAGTGAAAAAGCCATTATTATGATGATGATAAAGTTTGCCCTTTCAATATAAATCCTTCTATCTGCAATAAACTATCGAGTTTCCAACCTTGGTAGGTAGGTATACTTACCAGGGTGCCTATTCTCGAAACCGAGGAACAGCGTTTTCACGAGATCGTTTGCTCTGTCTTTGTCAGTGTTATGGAAATATAAATATGGGCGACTGACACATAACCTTAGTTCTCATGAGAACGCTGCTCCCCTGTTTCGAGAATAAGGGCCAGAGGTAGGGATGATCTATGAATTCCGAATCCCCACACATCACTCCATATTTTTTGAAAGAGGCCCTTATTATCAGGGAATTTCAAAGCAAAGCCTACAGATTCCTGCCTGCTAATATCAGGAATATGGAGGAAATTAGGAAATTTAACCCGTAACTGGTGAAGTGGGGTTTCTCAAATTCCACAGATTTCAAGAATCTTTCTTTACGACGTATTAACTAATGGTTGGAGACCCGCCACCTTCTGCGTAGCTTTCGGTCTGTTGTCCGTCAGTTCCCTAACGGTATCAACAACGCGCAATATCCTAGTTGGTGTGCGATATTACGATTTTTTGTACAAATTGGGGTTTGCGTAACCTCACCTCACTGTGAGTCGTTTGGGTTAGTTTGGGTTAATTGCTCTCCAAAAAGTTTACTTGAAATACAATTTTGGTAAAACTTTGTTCCTTGAATGTTTTTACCAAGATTTTTAGACACTTTTACGCCATTTTGTAAGTTTTATGCTACATTTTCAGTTTGATTACTTCCAGCAATTGGAAATAAGTTTTGATGTGTGTTTTGTGCGGTCCTACAGTAAAATTGAATTATTCCTGAAATACTTGTTTTTTGTTTATTGAAAGTATGTAAGTAAATAACATACACGTTTTTTTTATTTTGAATTAGCAGAATCGCCTTTTTCATTTGGGGTTTAGCAAACCCCACCTCACCGGTTATGTAACAAAAAAATGACCTCACCAGTTACAGGTTAAAATAGTGGTCTTATAGTTTGCGAAAGATAAATGTTTTTATTTATGGATTGGTGTATCTTTGATTTTTACCAATTTATGTTCATTATAAATTATACTACTTGCTAAATTTTCACTTGTGATCTCAGTATAGTTGATGTCCTTTTTTTGTATGATGTGTAGATGTGTGTTTGTCTCTTGCACTCAACATAGAAATTTTTTGACGTTGCTTTTTTATGTATTTAGTTTTGTTGCCAAGAAGGAAACAAATAAATAAACAAAAAGTAGGTATTTGGTTGATTCATCAAATCAAACTTATGCCTATGGATTAAAAATACAGAGTGGATAAAGCTACGGAACTTCCGGTCGATTTTTTTTTTTTTATTAACCCGGAATTTCCGAATTATTATTTTATTATTATTCGTCCGGAAAATAATACACCATGTACCCCTGCAATGACACAATCATTACTCCCCATCCCCCCAGGCCCCATTGTGCTGACGCTGGCGCCGCGCCGCCAATTTCGAATTTATACACGTGTAGAATTTAAACTTTTTAAACAGAAAAGCAAAAATTTACACTTTATTTCGTAAAAAGTTTGTGAATTCACATTTTTTTTTATGAAACTTCGTATAAAGTAGTTTGGTTAAGTTTGAATTAGTTTGGGTTAGTATTGGATTAGTTTGGGTTGGTTCAGGTTAATTTGAAACTAACCAGTTTCATTTAGTTTGGGTTAGTATTTGATTAGTTGGAGTTATTTTCACACATATTTTATTGGTAGTAGAAAAAATGTTGTACGTGTGTGAAGCACCTTTTTTCACTCATGTGATTGTTAAACTTCACATTTGTGAAAAAAGGTTCACTATACACACTTGTTGCATAAATAACTATTCCAAACATTTCAAGTCGTGTAAAACAAAAATTTGACATCTATGACTGTCAAACCTCAACAATTCCCTTTTTATTAATTTTTTTGGCCTTGAGACGTACCGTAGCGAGGAGGGTCAAATTCACTTTTTGACGTATTTTTTGCTCCTCTATCCGATAGAATTTTTTTTTTTTTGGAATTCGATATTTGAATTTTTTCGACAAAAAAAATCAAAGGGTTTTTTTTTTTTAATTTTCCAAACCGTCCTAACTCGAAAACGAAAAGCTTGAGAGAAAAACTTCAAATGTAAAACTTATAGATCTCATCGAGTACTACAAGAAAGCCTATAAGAAGTATCCCTCCACGGGGCACAGTTTTCGAGAAAATCAACCTCGAAAATTTTAACAAAATTACAAGAAATTTCAACTTTGACTGCCAATATCTCAAAGACAAAAACGGCCTGGAATCTCAATACAAAAATATTTTGTAGGTAATTTTATCCTTTTTCAAATGAGATATGACTCGAAATGATTGGTTAAGAAATAGCGGAGTTATAGGCGAAAAAGTGGCCTCGTGTCGGATACCCACAATTTTTTTCTGATCAAAATTGAAATTTCTTTTTTAATTTTTTTTCAGCCTTAAGATGTGCCGTAGCGAGGAGGATCAGATAAACTTTTCGACGTATTTTTTGCTCCTCTATCCGATGGTATTTTTTTTTGTGAAATTCAAAACATGATTAGATATATAGAGTAATTTCGGGGAATATGGAATAGTCCGGGTAATATGGAATAGCTGCTAATTTTTTTGTGGGTGGCGACATCTGCATTTTTATACCTAAGCCGACATTATTCCCACCCTAAACTATTATTAACCTCATCAGTTTTCAACAGTTGCCTTTTTTTAGTTCGCAAAACGTCATATGATATTAAACGTGTTTATCAAGTTTTGCAATAGGGTTTTTCAAATTTATCTAGTGGTTGTATTTGTACAAAGTTATCGCTCACTCTGGCAGGTGAGTCTGTCCTAATGTTCAGTTACTCTTTTAAGTTGTTGTTAGTACATTGTTCTCAAAAACATATTTTCGGCATGTATTTTTTTCTCCAGGTGGTCTTTCGGGTATTATGGGATATTCCATTGCGGCGGATGGACCCATGAAGCTACCACATCTGGTGCAAGAGATTTCTACGTTTGTGATTTTTGCCAGTAATTAGATGAGTTATTTCTTTGTTTTTTTTGTTTAATTACTCGTTATTAAAAATTAAACGTATTTTCGTTTTTTTCTTCTTATGATTTACTCTATCCCATATTACCCCATATGCCTATTCCATATTACCCTCCACTTTTTTTCAGCACTTAAAAGTGATTAATTTGACAGTTTATTTTCTGAACTGATACGGTATTTTTATAATCAAAACTGATTATAAGCTACTTATAGATAATACCCTGACTTTCTCATATACATACTAAATTTCGGAGTGAAAATTGTATTTTTTTTCCAGTTATTCAACAAAACGAAAATGGTATTCCATATTCCCCGAAATTACTCTACCTATAATATGTCAAAATAGACGTTTGGCGTCGCCAGGCTGTTAGTTTTTGACATATATCGATGAAACTTTTTACTTTAGGGTTTTTGGACCCTGGGGATCGTTTTCTGACTTTTGTTTTTTGAAAAAAAAAAAACAGATAAAATTTTTTGATATTGACACAGTTGTTAAAATTAGGGGACGTTCCGTAAGTTAACCAAGATTCTGGGTTTTTCTGGTAAACGTTCCGTAACCTAACCACTCCTGAAATCTGGTTAGGTTATGAAACGCGGTTCCACACATAAACCGCATATTCAGGAACTAGACTGTCACCATAAACGAACCGCTCCATATCAATCGGTAACTCTGGTTAAGATACGGAACGCCGCCTTAGCTTCGGCGAACACGTAGAAAATACTGAAAAAAATCCATGGCCAACTTTGACAGCCGTCAATGTCAAAAATATGGCAAGCAGGTTCAATATCAAAAAAAGGATTCCACCACGGATAATATTTTTTCGAAGCATTTCAAGTCGTGTATATATGTATATATATATCGATAATAATCCGGAAAAAATGAAATTTAAAATTGGCGTTTACGTGGCATAACATTACCTACGCTCAAATGTGTCATCGCACAAGTAAAAAAAAATTCAGGCAGACACAAGTAAAAAAACAATCCGGACGAATAATAATATAGGTAATAATAATCCGGAAATTCCGGGCTAATAAAAAAAATATATTCAACCGGAAGATCCGGGTGATCAGGGACACCCATATTCATCCGGATTTTTTAAACATTTGAATGCTGCATGACAAAATGTGTCATTTAATGTCATTCAATGTGATATTTCCATGCGCATTTGCTCTTCACGTGTGTGTAACGTGTGTTTATTAATTAATTAATCGTTTAATTGACCATAATAAGTGTTGAAAATAGTATATTGTTGTATTAGGAGTAGAAGCTTTACTTTTTTGTGCTGAAGCGGTAGGTTTGCGAGCCGAACGTAGTGAGGCTTGCAATACTGCTGAAGCACAAAAAAGTGCTTCTACTCCGTATGCAACACGCTATTTTTTCTCCAAACGAATGGGGTAAGCTCGGGGGCAAGTGAATGGTTGGGCGGCAGTAAAAGTACGAGCGGCACTAAAAGTACTTCTACTGCCGCTCCAGCGACATTAAAAGTACTTTTGCTGCCGCTGGGGTTGCCAAGCAGCATAGAAATCGAATTTTTACCACCTCGACAGGTGTTAATCCGCTGGATTTGTCTAGCAGCATAGAAATCAAATTTCTGACATCTTGACAGGGGTTAACAAAGTGATATTTTTCTGACGTTTGGAGAAAAAAGTCATTTGATACCGTCCAAGTGATTAGTTGAGAATAGTAGTATTTATACCACCCTAAGTAAGTATCCTATATATGTATTGGTGGAGATAATGGACTATTATAGGTTATAATTAATTTTGATTATTTTTTATTATTATAATTGAATAAATAATTGTAATAATATTCATTTCCTTATTATAGTGAATTCTAACGACTGTAGTGCAAGTGATGATGAGACAAGATCGGATGAGGAAACTCAATCCTATCACAACAATGACGATGATAATGTTGATGATGTCGATGAAGATGATGATGTTGACGAAAGCTCCAATGACGAAGATAATGGTACAGAAAGTCCTTTCGACGAGAATGATCAAGCTACGGAGCATAATAACAACGTTGAAGGACTCATGAAAATAGGAGATGCCTATAATACGCTTGAAGATCTTCAAACTGTCATTGACGAGCTTCAAAATAAAACATATGCTCTGAAACTATAGCGAGATATAAGAAAAAGGCTACAAAACGAGCGATGAAAGAATCATTGAAGTACAGCAGTATAAAATTTTGCTGCATTCACGGTGGAAAGAACTTCAAAACGAAATCAACTGGACAACGCCGCTCTTCGTATGCTCTATCATTATTAACTATATTCACTGTTGAATGATTGAATATTAAAAATTTTACTTTCCCTTTACTTTTATTGTAGGAGGTAAAAAACCAAATTACTAAACAAAACAAAAATATGTATATATATATTTTCTCTAAAAGTAAAGTGTTTTATTTTGAAATTTGTTATTGATATTTTAGAAACTCTATCAACATCTTCCACAAACGAGACAACTGAATGTCAACGACAGAAAAAAGGCTGCTGAGCTATTGAAATTGGGAGCGAACAAGACAAAAGTCAAAAAACATCTTCTAGTTCGGACGGGCAAAGTTGTTACCTCCAAGGATTTAGACAATCTTGTAGCTTCAAATGACGAAAAAAACTCACTCGTTTACACCGTTGATAAGCTGAAGAATGAATACAGTAAATTAATCTTTTTTCAACATATATTATTAATTTCGAGAACAACGAGTAATGATAATTTTTTTTTACAGATGCTACATGTACATTACGCCACGATACCAACGAAAAAACAGGCGAAAAAACGTTTGAAGGTCTTTTTTTTGTAACTCCAGCCATGAAGAAGACAATGGAGAAATATCCTGAATTTGTAGGGATTGATGCCACCTACAAATTGTTGGATATTCGTTGTCCACTATACTTCATGGTCGTGGAATATTCAAATGGACAAACAGAAATTGTTGCTGCTTGCATCATGATGCACGAGGATAAAGAATCCATCAAGTGGATGATCCAATCCTTCAAGGGGATACATTTGAATTGGCGAAAAGTAGAATGCATAATGACAGATAAAGATTTGACGGAGCGACAAGTAATTCGTGAAGAGTTTCCATCAGCCAACTTGCTCCAATGTATATTCCATACACAGCGGACATTCAATCGAGAAATCACGACCGAGAAGCTTGGTATTACACCTGGACAGAGAGACTCGGCAAAGGAATTTATTAGAAAAATGATTTATGCACCAACTGAAATCGAGTACCAAAAATATTATACAATGCTACAAGAACTACCTAAATCCATCGTGGATTATTTTGATACAAACTGGCATGAATCTAGAGAAGAATGGTCTTTGTCGAATAAGTACATGACACGCAGCCTCTTAAATACGACGAATAACCGGATTGAATCCATGAATGCGAAGATAAAGCAGATTGTCAATCGTTACTCAAAACTGGAACAATTTGTTGAAGAGTTTATGACATTTATTGCATGCCAGCATGTGGAGCATGACAGAAAAGCTGCCCATCAGTTTCATAAAACACCGGTCATACTATTTCCTGACGATTCTCCTGAGAAACAATACGCTGACTTTCTGACTGCTTATGCATATAAATTCATTTTGAAAGAGCTGCGTGCTGCTCAATATATTGATATAGACAGTGCTAAAGACTATTCAAGAGGAGGAATTTTTAAAATAGGTTCGCCAATTCAATCGACATCAGCGTCAAATTGTACTTGTATCAGGAAAGTTTCAATGGAACTTCCTTGCCGTCATATGTTCGCTGTTCGCACAGAATTGAACATGGATCTCTTTGATGCTGATCTTTGTTATAAACGATGGCAGAAGGCATACTATTTCAAGACACAACGAGTTTTTTTATCGACAGAAAATGACTTCGAACAACCAGTGCGTATCACGGAATCTCGTGTATATCAGAAAAAAATATTGGCGCAACATGAGAAGTTTAGAAATATGACTGCTGCCCTTAAACCTTTGGCACAGTTAGGGTCCGAAGTTAGTGGAGATCGCTATTTACTACGTATGAAAAACATAGTAGATATGCAAACAGCTTGGGAAGACAATGAGGACGTTGTGGTACTGAAAATTAGTCAATTCAACGAACTAAAGGGCAGTAATGGAGATGAGAATCTTGTTGATGTTGATGGAGAAAGAAACTGTAGATCTGAGAGTCCGGATAGACCTGATACAGACGATAGAACTGATCGATCTGATCCAGGCGATGGACCTGATAGATCTGATTCAGGTGAAGAGTCTGATACACACATCAATTCTTCGACTCCAGGCACATCAAAAATTGTAGAAGATTATTCAAGTGACGAGCAAACTACATTGATAAGCCGGAAAAGAAAACGCTTTAGTTTCCTTGATGAGTCATCTTCTGAAGTAGAAGATAACGTTGGTGCTCCTGGACCTTCATCTCTAAAGAATATTTTACGCGAAATAAAAGTATTGCCGGTATTTAAACCACGAGGACGTCCTAAAGGATATAAAAACACAGTCATTGGTTTACCCCGCAAACCACAAGTGTATGGGCCAAAGATATTTAGAAAAAAGACAAATGTGGAAAAATGTTCTACAATATTAAAATGGTTAGTTACCGATGATTTGGCAGAACGAGCACTATTAGGGTATCATTTAATTGATGAAGACGAGATCGAAACGATGCCTCAAGAAATTACAAATGCAATTATCGATGATAACGTAAATATATTAATTACGAAAAAATATTTTACGCCCGATGGATGGAAACTCGTTCAAAACATCATTCGATCAAAAAAATCACAAGTCTGGGAATGTTCACAGTGCAACATAGATCTAGAGAGAACAGTTGATGCTGATGTGGAAAATAGACCACCTGAGAAGATTTCAATTGGCTGTGATTATTGTCTCCTTTGGTATCATTTGCACTGTGTTGGATTGGAACAACTCCCCAAGCAAAAAAATTGGATGTGCCAAAGATGCCGAAAAAAATGAATTATTAAGGAATGTGCAATACATTCATATTTGTTGTTTACGTTGAAATACATGTTAAATAAAAATTCTAGGTATATATTGTTTACTTTGAAATATCTGTGAAATAAAAATTCTATATAGGTATTGTATTGCGTTCGTTGAGATATTTGTGAAATAAAAAATAAATTGATATTTATTCTTTTCAGTAAACTACTTATTTTTTGATTAATATTTTAATGACTTTACTTACACGCAACTAATCGTTCAATTCAATTTAAATATGTTTTTTGTCATACACTCCCAAAAACAGCTATTTTACGGACTCATTTAAGTCCGTAAAATGCTGCTTTTCAGGATTATTTTTTTTTTATCTGGATGCACCTTTATGATTTCAAAAATTAAGGAAAATTTGCAAATTTTAGCGTTCTGAAGAATTCTAAAAATCGTATGACAAAAAATAGTGTTTGTCACACGTACTTAAACGAAATTGGTACATTTGGTACATTTTAGGTACTTGTGACAAAAATAACTATTTTTTTTTCTACTATCAATAATAATCTGGAAAAAATTAAATTTAAAATTGGCGCTTACGTGGCATAACATTACCTATGCTCAAATGTGTCATCGCACAAGTAAAAAAAATGTCAGGCACACATAAGTAAAAAAATAATCCGGACGAATAATAATATAATAATAATCCGAAAATATTCAACCGGAAATTCCGGGCTAATAAAAAAAAAATTCAACCGGAAGAGCCAGGTGATTAGGGACACCCTTAAAAATATTCTATTATTTCTAAATTGAACATTTAAGCCATACTTTTATTTATTGTAATTTTTATTGAAAAAAAAAACACTAATTCATAGGGAGGAACTTCTAATCAATTCACTCGTTAAAACCTAATTTATGATGGTTGGCAAAGTAAATTTAATTTAATGTGCACTAAATATCGGCTCATAAATCATCAATCCAAATACTAATGTTTTAGTTCAAACTCACAATCCAAAATTTGTTCACACTCTCGCAGGTTACGATGAGCGCTTTTATTTTTCTTTTTGACTACAAAGTAAAATTGCAGAAGTTCTGGCATTTACATTTAGTTTAGAAGAAATAATGAAAGAAGATACAGCGCCTATTCACAGCACTATTTAGAAATTAAAAATTGTCCGTACATTTTTTGTAAATAAAATGGCATATTGCTTGAAAACGTCAAAATAAGTTAATTTTAAATCTGCATGTCCTAATTCACTTTATGATATAACTTTATCTCCTATAATGCAAAATCAATTCTCAGTCAGAATCATTTTCTAATTTAAGATCTAAAACGTTGAAAATGTATCAGTGGAAAATGTTTATTGGCGGTTTATTTTATTACAATGCCAGTTTGTTTTTTTAAAGACTGTCTGGTTTCAACTTCAAGGTTAATGGATAACATACATATATTATTTATTGCTGCACAAGAGCAATTTTGTTAGTAGGTACTTACTAGCAGATTTAGGTTGAATCTGATCTCCTTCAGCTGGTGTAAAGATTTTTTCAATGTTGATAGGTTTCGGTATGGCGTTTTCATCCTGAAAAATTAGGGCATTATTAAAAAATGTGTAGTGGATAAATTCAGTTTATTTTTTTTCACTTAAAAGTAGATATAAATGAAATTTGAGTCTGGTTCAAAAAAATTATCAAATCATTGGTTATTCGATTCCTGCGCAAATTTTTCAAAATTCTTCTAGTAATATATTAAAAATTATCAATTAGGGGGATTTATTTCGGGTAGCGGTCTGTTAAAAGAGAAATTCAATTGTTTTTACTCAATGGGTGGTATGAATAAAAGCGAAGTACTTGCTTCTACTACAAGTATGTAGTAGAGTATGTTCTTCGTAGTATTTACTTCAAATCGGAGTAGATACTACATTTCGAAACTACCGGAAATTAGCAAATGCTTCTTTGTGAAGTAAATACTGCGAAGAATATACTAATACTTGTAGTAGTAGCACGTACTTCGTTTTTATTCATACCACCCAATATTTCATCAATGTATGAATGATCTTATTTCTACTTCTACCTATTTTTATTTTTTGAACATCTACCAGAATAATACCTTGGTTAATGTCACATTAATTTTTTTACCATCAAATAATGCTGTGATGTATTCAATATTTTAAGAACTATTACATAACAAATCTGAGCATTGTAAGTCATATTATTATTATTATTATTTTATTTAGCTTTTCATAATTATTATTATTGTTATATTTTTTTTTTGATTATCACTTACCTCCTGCCTCATATTAATAACTGTTTTAGTACTCCTGAGGAAGTCGAAATACATACAGGGCGTTCATTTCAAAACTTACCACCCACGTCATCTGCGTAAAGAGACATATTTGCGGAAATCGCCGAAACACGTCAACAAATTTATTGAGAGGGAAGGTTTTTTACGTAAAACTGGACTTCGCCCCTTCAACCCCCTAAGCCCTAGGGTTACCTTCCCAAAATTTTCAAATGAGATAGGGGTTCGAGTGAGGGCTGTTCAATCTGTCAAATTTGACCTCAGTGTTGCAAAAAAACACCCATTTCAATGTTTAAAAATGCCTATTTATCCCTAAGAACACCTGCTTAATTACCTGTTGCTGTAATAGAAAGGTAGGTAAAGAAGCAGGTATATATAAATATATAAATAGGCATTTTTAAACATTGAAATGGGTGTTATTCTGCAACAGTGAGGTCAAATTTAAAAAAAGGACGGCAAAATGTACAGATTAAACAGCCTTTCAAAATAATCTATCACTCGACCCCCTGTCTCATTTGAAAATTTTGGAGAAGTAGCCCTAGGGCTTAGGGGGTTGAAGGCGCGAAGTCCAGTTTTACGTAAAAAACCTTCCCCCTCAATAAATTTGTTGACGTGTTTCGGCGATTTTCGAAAATATGCCTCTTTACGCAGATAACGTGGGTGGCAAGTTTTGAAAAAGCCCTGTATATTGACGAAATATTGAGTAAGAGCAATTGAGCAACAGATCGCTACCCGAAATAAATCCCCCAAATTAAATTTGTACGGTCGGAATTATCAATTCCATTAAAAATTATCGTTATCAAAGGAGTTTTGCGGTTAATGTACATTACCTTAATAGAATTGGTATTGCGATAAATGCGATTTTGGATATCGGATGAATAGGTACAAAATTTTCTAATAAAATCATTATTTTAAATTTAAAATGTGTTGAAGCGTAATAACCACATGATTTAAAAAATCTTGTTTCGCAATTATTAGGCAATGGGCAAGTGATAATTGCACAATATTTGTTATTTTGTTGATGTCAAAGGGATTAAAAACATCCCAAAATAGATATATATTTATAATTCACTTAGTATTTGAAATTAGCATTGGACTAACAAATTTACAATGTATTTTTCACTGGAAGAAATAAAAAAGTTAATAAAAACATCAGAGTGGTAACTTTTTTTTGGTCTGCAATCGCAAACTAGGTAATTAATGATTTTTATTTACGACTAATGTATAATGTGCGTATTATATTTGTGATTTTGGCAGTATAATGACATATGTTATTCCTCCAGGGATTAATGACGAGTAGCGGGATTAATGGTCATTATTCCTCATAAGTGTCAGTGTCAAACGTGTAGTGCTTGAGAATTTGTATTGAGATGGATGAAATTTGGTATTAAAAATCTCAAATAAATCAATTTGTCGTAAATAAAGTAGAGTATAATACTCGCAATAATGGCTATTATTTCCTAGGAATGTCACTCCCTCGCCGCTAATGCGTAAGTATTCCTCGGGAATAATAGCTATCAATATTGACTCGTGGTATAATCTACTATAATTCACATAAACCTACATATTTCAAATCGCAAACTTAAAATTTACAAAAATAAAAACATACTTCAAAATGAACATGTTTCTCCTTTTTGGTTGCGTTATCTTCAACAGGTTCTCTATACTGCCATTTATTATCTGAAAATCCATTTTCGAATCCATTTTCATATCCAGTCCGTTCAAAATATGTTTCACTATTAAACGTTTTATTTTCGCTTGAAAATTTTTCAGTTTTTTGCGTATTTATACAAATTTCTCCACCCAAAAACATATTGGACGAAAATAATAACACGAATGGTGACCTTGCTTTTTACTTTATGTTGGCATATTTATTTTTCTAAAAAATATAGCTTGATTGCTTTTTTTGCAATTTTTCTAACCCACTTTTAAATTAGAAGGCACTATGAACACTCGACCGTTCGCACGAAAATCGATAACTTTTTGAAAAATTAACAAAAATCGACCAGGATAGACCGCGGTCCGCCTATAAACTTTGAGGAACAGCAACCGAAAATTGCCGGCTGCTCTAGAAGTAGTATAGGCCATGTGTTGCGCATTTTATTGTTTGCATTAGTTTTTAGTTAGGTATGATGTAATTTTTTGACCCGAATTTCCATCACCGATTTTCTTCCGAGCGGATTTTATTTTTTTATTTATGGATTAAAAAGATGACGGTACTTCGAGTAGTCCGAACGCTGAGGATTTTGTGTAACTGCTAGTCAAACGATTTCTACGCAGAAACATGACCTTACTTAAGCGATTTTCGGCAAGGTGTTACGTTCTATTTTAAGATCTTTGATTATCCTGCGTATCTTCGTACTGACTCAAACAAATAATCATCAATTCAATTAAAATGGGTAGTTAATTTTCTTTAAAGGCTCCGATTGTTTGATCTTTTTCGTCATACTGTACTGTTATCTTACTATAACATGAGTGAAATTGAAAAGGTATACCAGGTGTCCCACTAAGGTCGGCCAGGCAATGGCGTATTTTAAAATTTAGCGCCTTGGGCCTTTGAGGTTTGTCGCCCTAATTTAACAGAAAAAAAATAAATAATGAAAAAAGATCAAACGAAAAAAGAACCACTATTTATTCATTAAATATTTTAATAAGTATTTTCTTGCGATTCACAAATTGGTTGACAAATTCGTCCAATAGATAGGTATGTTCTCTCGAAAATCTCTGCCAGCTTACAAACTGTCGGAAAAAATCGTTCAGCTAAGTTACCGATTTATCTTGGACCAAGGCATTGAAAACATGCATGGGTGATGTGCTAGTCACAGTTTGCAAACTGTCACAGAGTCTTGTGAGAACAGACCTATTGACAACATTATAATGACAATAGATTTTGGATTTTGTCATGATTCTTGGATTTTGTCTAGTGACCCCTATATCAAGGATGGCTGAACAGTTCACTCGGTCTTCGCTTATACAGGACCGCAGATCAGAGCTGGGCAAAGCACTCGGAAAAAGTGCTTGGAGCACCAAGCACCAAGCCCTTAGGAAAAGTAATTGCCAGCATCAAGCACCAAGCACTTTACAAATTCTTAGTGCTTGCAATTACCAATTACCAAAGAAAGTAATTGCACAATTCAATTACCAAGCACCAATAACTCAAAAAGTGCTTGAAATCATTGTTGCTAACTTGCAGGTGCTTGAAAGCACTTTTTTCTCAAATAAATTACCAATTACCAAGCACTACTTTGCCAATTGCTTCCAATTTATTTTTAAAATAAAGATGTTGCTGAATAATTGGGATCTGAGGACAAAGCAATTTGAAACGTAATAAGTTTTAACGTTTTTGGTTGATATTGATATGATGATAGTTATAAGTAATAAAATGATCAAACCAAAAGGCATTTTTTAGCGAGATTCCAGTAATAACCGTTTCTAACCCGTGCGGTTATACACGGTAACACTCCCACTTCAAAAATATATCCCTACCATTGGCAGATTTCTAGGATTAAACCGCTTCTCGCTAAAACGGAATGGTTATCAAAATTTTACAGTAAGGTGAGGTTAGTTTATATTTTGTGGTAAACATAAAAGAAATGGAGTCAATAATTAAGTCCTTATTACTAATTGACGATACTATGTTTGAAAACACCCTGTATATTCTAATTTCCAAGTCTTATCGTCAAGCATAGTGGTCCCATGAAATATATATTCCTCAGAAAAAAACTCACTTTTACAGATCAAAAGAATCACAAATGAATCTAAGGTTAGAATTTTTCAGTTACTCAACTCTCGACTTGGGTATCGAAAACAATAACCGTGTTATAGAATGATGACGTTACTTTATGACAGCAAAACACTTTCCCCTATTACCGTTTTCTCGCAAAAACGGATCGGTTATTGATTTCCTGTAACCGCTTGTAACACGGGAACTAACGGGAACTCGCTAAAAAATGCCTAATGTTTTTTGTTCTTAATTTATTACTAGTTTTCATCTCTTCACTGTACATACACTACACTACACTGTATCATCGAATATTAACATTATTATAACTAAATATAAAGACACCCCGGGCCGCATGGCCCCCATGGCCCTATGGTAAATACGCCACTGCGGCCAGGGGTCGTATTTTCGAAACCATTCGAATGCCGTTCGTATACGAAATAAGGCAAAATTCGCATGAAAATTGAGGTTCCGTATTTTCGAATCACTTTCGAACGGTCCGTACACGATTTAGTTCGTGTACGTTTACTCGAGTGGGTCTCCACCAGTCGAATATCACA